CGGGGCCGGCGGCGCGACCGGGGCCTGGGCACCTTACCCACCCACGCCACCCAACCCCAGGTGCCTGATGGGACCCTGCCTGAACTTTCCCGCCACAGCCAAGACCTCTTGCCGCGGCTCGGAGAGCTAACTGCGGTGGTCTTGAAGCCAGGTGCAGGGTTCCAAAGGCGCCGCTGCAGGTGGCTGCCCCTGCCTTCCCTAGAGCAGTGCCCCCAGCCCACTGGTTTGCTCCCTTTCCAGAACCCTCACTGTTGGCCTTAAGGACAGATTTGTGAGCCACTAGCTAAGGAACTCTACAGAAAACGAAAAGGCTGGCAGGGGACCGTTATTTTGAAAACCAGCGAGTAGACACGTGAAACAGAAGGGCTTTGGGACAATGCTTTTAATGTCCTAATTGATAATACAGAAATAAAATGGTGGGAGAGAGGAGACCAAGGAGAAAGAGGAAGAAATCCCTTTCACTGACGGACAGAGAGGGGCCAGTGGCTAGTGTTTGTTCACCTACTTTTTTCCCCAATAGTCGAATAGAATTATTATATTACCACCCTTGTTTGCCACGATAAAACAAGAATTGCTTTCCCCTATACTGTGTATGCTCATACAGTCGTCAAACAAAAGATCTTTGAACACCTACTCAGTGCCAGACACCATTCTAAGAGCTGGCCATCGTACCAGAGAACACAAGAGACAAGAACTGTTAAGGGAAGAAAAATGAGTAAAAATCGCCCAGTGCTCCACCTATTACATAATTTACTGGTTACTAAAATCAGACTTGCTGGAGGAAAAAAGTACAAAACCTCAAAACTTTCCCCCAATAACCTTTAACCTCACCTGCAAACCTATTTCTTCCATATTGGAAACCACAGGGAAATCTATTTTTCTTTTTTTAGAGACAGAGTCTCATTTTATCGTCCTCGGTAGAGTGCCTTGGCGTCACAGCTCACAGCAACCTCCAACTCCTGGGCTTAGGCGATTCTCTTGGCGCCCGCCACAACGCCCAACTATTTTTGTTGCAGTTCGGCAGGGGCCAGGTTGGAACCTGCCATCCTTAGTATATGGGGCTGGTGCCCTACCCACTGAGCCATAGGCACCACCCTGGAAATCTACTTTTCTTTAGGGCTTTTCAGGAGAAGAATTAAATCAAGTTTCATTCAACTAACATTGACTTAGTGTTTTGAGTGTTTTAACATAATCAAAGAAAAGCCTGATATTTAATTATGAGAAAAGCCCACAGCACTGGTTCTCATACTCAGATGATGTTACTATCAAGTGAGGATCAAGAGTTCCTTATTCAAGAACTTCTTACCAACATTTGTGACAATGTATCTCATCCCTCCCTCGGGAACCTCTAGCACATTGTATCTGTTGGTTTCAGATGCAGTTCTGTGCCTTCCTGCTAAGAAACAATTGTGTCTTCTCAGCTGTCAATCTACATCTCTAGCTTCTGTGCGCAGGGTGGATGTTCTGCTTCACGTGCTTGGTGAGAGCGTCTATAAATCAGTGTGATGCCTACCTCTGGTCTCCCCTAGCTGTGTCGCAGCTTGCTAGCCCACACTAACCACCTGTATCACCCATCACCTTTCCAAGTTTTCAGTGTATCTTTACGATATTTTGGTTATTGCTAAAACCTGGAGAAGTGGAATAATAGTACTGAAAGTCCTAAGTAAAGAATCTATTGAAGGATTTTCCCCCGCATGCTCAGTGGCAGATGCGGTAGCAGTATCCCTGCAACACAAAGAAAAGGGGAGACAGACACAATGAGAACAAAGAGCTTCTGGGTCCTACACTAGCAAAAGAAATTAGAAATAGGCATGTAATAGTGAAGACAGCAAGAATTAAGAAAAAGCAGTCATTTGCCTCCAAAATTTATATACTCTAAAGAAGGAGAGATATAAAAAGCCCTCTCCTCCCCCATTTACCCAATATGGTCTATAGAATACAGCCAACAGCTAGTATTCAAGCTTTAGAACTGTGCCTTCTCAGAAAGAATTATTGTAAAAATCTTTATTCTTTAAAAAGAAAGCACTCACTCCTTGCAATTTGGACATAGAAAAGAAAGGAAATGCTCTGTTTAATATTTCTATCCTTCATTATTCTTCTGAACAGACAAATTTGCTCTCTTTTGATCTGTTTTAAAAGTGTGAAATTATTCATATCCAGAGAAATTTTAAATCATGTTTTTGCTTCCTGTTAGAGCCTCTCCTTTTTCCCTTCTGTGAACTATCTGTGTGTACACACCAGAGACCTCGAAAAGCACACTGATTTTTAAGTTGGTAACCCACCATGCCCATCTCTTTAACGCGTAAGTAAAGAGGTTTAAGTGAATGTATAGGTGATTTCAGAGGTTGATGGTGTCAAAGTTTTAATTAAGCAATCTCAATTTTTTTATTTTGATGCAAATGTGTAGGTTTTGGTCTTTTGAAAGAAATTGCATGCATAGTTGCTTAATTTTTAAAATATAGTTTTTTTATTTAGTAAATCATAAATAAAATTAATGTGTACATTAATACTGTCATGGGGTACAGTGTGCTATTTTTATATACACTTTGAAATATTTTCATCAAAGTGGTTAACATAGCCTTCATGTCATTTTCTTAGTTATAGTGTTAAGACATTTATATTCTTCATTTAAAAAGATTCTCATGTACCCTTATAAGATGCACCATAGGCGTGATCCCACCACTCACCCTCCCTCCGCCCATCCTCCTTTCCCTCTCCCCTTCTCCCATATTCTTGGGCTACATTTGGGTTATAGCTTTCCTATGAAAGCTATAAATTAGTTTCATAGTAGGGCTAAGTATGTTGGATACTTTTTCTTCCATTCTTGAGATACTTTGCTAAGAAGAATATTTTCCAACTCCATCCATGTAAACATGAAGGAGGTAAAGTCTCCATCCTGCTTTAGGGCTACATAGTATTCCATGGTATACATGTACCACAGTTTATTGATCCATTCGTGGGTTGATGGGCACTTTTTAAAATGAAATGTATAGGTGATTTCAGAGGCTTACAAAGAAGATGTTGAAAATGAAAATGCATGTCTCATTAAAAAACTTTATCCCTAAGAATATATTCAAAATGTCATAAGATAATGAGAAGCCTCGGTAGATCGCACATTCAAAACTGGTAAAAAAAAAAAAATGTATATTTCTCTAATAGAACCTACTCATTACACTTCAGAACTATAGTGAATTTTCAGAACTAATGAATTTCAAGAAAAAAAATTAACTTATTTTAATTTGTATTTTTCTCCAATAGTGTCTGTGACATCAAATTGATTCAGCAATAGAATTGCAAAGGTAGCATAGTTTCTTCTTGAATATATAAAAATAATTCTCCACAGAAATCTACCGTCTGGTATTACCCCAGTTTTACAAATGAGCTATCAAGGTTAGACCACTTGCCCAAGTTCAGTCAGGAAAATGATGGTTCTCAGCCGTTACTAGTGACCCAGGCTCTCCTTACCCCTTTCCCTTAGAGTAAAATTTCTCCTAGAGTAAGCCTCATAAATGCAGCTGACATCCCCTGATATGACCTGTCTATTAACTCAAGTTCATAAATCCAATTACCGCAAGAAAAGAAAATCACTTCATGTGTTAAACTAAGATCCAGGATCCCCATCTGCCTTTTCAGGTTAGTTTGAACCACACTGTTTGAATGATTCCTATGGCAAGTGCTGTTTACACATACAGAAATGACTGGAATACTCGAAGTCCCACTGCCCAGGGACAGCACCTGGTATGGTGTCTAGCACATAGCAATGAAACATTGAAATCTTTCTAAGAAATAAATAAATAAATCCATCCGTAAGTTCTAGCTGGAATTTAAACAAAACCCTGATTAGTTATGTCCATGAGCCTCCTTTATGATACAGTGACAACATGGATCCCACAATAATTGATGATTTCACATGACCCAACGAAAAGCTAGAAGAGCACTTGTGGCATCTAATTGTTGTGTTTTAATCATGTAAGTAGATGATACAAAGAGAAAACAAAAAAACAAGGGAGTCAGAATTCATAAAAACAATTCTCACATTGGTTGTTCCAATCTAACCCCACCCAACTCAACTATTCACATTCGTGCCAATACCCATGTAATTATTCTCTGTGAAGTCATATAGTAGTAGTTATAATAATAGTAGTGGTCATAATAATAATTTTGTTCATATGTCAAGCTATACTCATAAGAGCCCTTTGTAATAAACACTTGTTATGTATATATTATGTTCAATCATAGGGCTAGATGAATTTTTAAAAAGTGAGTAAGACAGTGTCTCCATCAAGACCTTATCTAGTTGTAGAGAGAAGGTCATAAACAATCACAGTGCAAGACTTCGT